GGATATGGACCCGCCCCTGGTGTGGGCTGTGAGGATATGCTCTGGGGACCCGCCCCTGGTGTGGGAGGAGATTCTCTGGGGGACCCGCCCTTGGTGTGGGCTGTGAGGAGATGCTCTGGGGACCCGCCCCTGGTGTGGGAGGAGATTCTCTGGGGGACCCGCCCCTGGTGTGGAAGGAGATTCTCTGGGGGACCCGCCCCTGGTGTGGGCTGTGAGGAGCCGCTCTGGGGACCCGCCCCTGGTGTGGGAGGAGATTCTTTCGGGGACCCGCCCCTAGTGTGGGCTGTGAGGAGATGCTCTGGGGACCCGCCCCTGGTGTGGGAGGAGATTCTCTGGGGGACCCGCCCTTGGTGTGGGCTGTGAGGAGATGCTCTGGGGACCCGCCCCTGGTGTGGGAGGATATTCTCTGGGGGACCCGCCCCTGGTGTGGGAGGATATTCTCTGGGGGACCCGCCCCTGGTGTGGGAGGAGATGCTCTGGGGACCCACCCCTGGTGTGGAAGGAGATTCTCTAGGGGACTCGCCCCTGGTGTGGAAGGAGATTCTCTGGGGGACTCTCCCCTCGTGTGGGCTGTGAGAGGACATTCTCTGGGGGACCCACACCTGGTGTGGGCTGTGAGGAGATGCTCTGGGGACCCGCCCCTGGTGTGGGAGGAGATTTTCTGGGGTACCCACCCCTGGCGTGGCTGTGGAAGGAGATTCTCTGCGGGACTCGCCCCTGGTGTGGGCTGTGAGGAGATGCTCTGGGGGACCCGCCCTTTATGTGGGCTGTGAGGAGATGCTCTGGGGGACCCGCCCTTTATGTGGGCTGTGAGGAGACGCTCTGGGGGACCCGCCCCACGTGTTGGCTGTGAGAGGACATCCTCTGGGGGACCTGCTCCTGGTGTGGGCTGTGAGGAGATGCTCTGGGGGACCTGCTCCTGGTGTGGGCTGTGAGGAGATTCTCTGGGGGACCCGCCCCTGGTGTGGGCTGTGAGAGGAGATTCTCTGGGGGACCCGACCCTGGTGTGGGCTGTGAGGAGACGCTCTGGGGGACCCGCCCCACATGTTGGCTGTGAGAGGACATCCTCTGGGGGACCTGCTCCTGGTGTGGGCTGTGAGGAGATTCTCTGGGGGACCCGCCCCTGGTGTGGGCTGTGAGGAGACGCTCTGGGGTACCCGCCCCTGGTGTGGGCTGTGAGAGGAGATTCTCTGGGGGACCCGCCCCTGGTGTGGGCTGTGAGGAGACGCTCTGGGGCACCCGCCCCTGGTGTGGGCTGTGAGAGGAGATTCTCTGGGGGACCCGACCCTGGTGTGGGCTGTAGGAGGAGATGCTCTGGGGGACCCACCCGGGGTGTCGGCTGTCAGGAGATGCTCTGGGCTTCCCAGGAAAAGTGCTTGTAGCAGCTGTCTAGGCCGTGGTGCCTGGCCCAGAGCTGCCGGGTCTTGGGTGCTCCCGTTCGGTGCTGGTCAGTGGCATATAGAAGGCAACTCTTCATGTAACAACTTGGGAAAGTAACCTTGAGCATCCCCTCAACCAGGAATACTCACCCTGGCCCAGGCCTCTCCGAGAGCTGCTGCCTCTTCCCGGGGTCTCTGGCCTGCCCTATCCTGTCTCTTGCGGCTGCTGTGGGTTTACCATGTATGGTTGTGGACAGCCTCCTGGGGCCCTGCCTGGCTCGGGCTCACAGGCACACTGCCCTCCTTCCACCCTTCAGTCCTGCCCCAAGGATGCCCCCTGCTCAGGTTCAACACTCCAGCAGCAGCATTCCGTGACCTTCAAGTTACCCAGGAAAGTGTCCACTGGCAAGGTGTCTCCTTCACTGCCTTTTGGAGCTCAGCCACTTCTGGGGACCAGACACAGGTGACACGTTATCACATCCAGACGGACTGCTGGGAACTTTAAAACTGCCGTCTTCTGTTTTATTGACAGGTAAATTGTTCAAAAATGTTCTCACGATTCAATAATTACAAAGACTCAGACTTACATTAAAAAAGTAAAAACCAGAACCCCCCTGCAGGTGCCCGTCCAGCAGAAGGCCCAGGAGGGCAGTGGGGTGGGCAGGGCTGGCGGAGCTGGGCCAGTCAGTGCCAACTTGGGGAAGGGCACATCCTGAACAGCCTTGCCAAGCAGCCGACCAGTGGGAGGACAGGGGAGGCCCGGCCCAAGCTGCGGAGAAGCTGTGTCTGCCGCAACAGTTAACCACAAGCCTCTGATGACACAGGGCCACAGAGCTGGGCACTCAACATCTGACACAAAGAAGGGTGAGGTGAAACACGCGCGAAGGGCATCGCTGTGCCGTGGGCCAGGGCCAGTGTGCACGAGTGTGTTGGGTGGGTCTACGTGATCATAAGGGCTACTAATCACCAGGGCTCCATGCGGGGGCGGGGGGTGGGTGGGGTGGGGTGTCCCAGTGGCTGCAGCGTGGCTCCCTGGGGCTCTGGCCTCCTCTCAGCCCAGCAGGCCACAGGGCCTGCCTGCACCACGACACTTGCTGGTTTTATGGCAGGAGGCAGAAGCCTTTGAAGCGACTGGAAAGCAGAGCATAGCAGACTTCACAGTAGTAGATACTGGTGACACTTCATGGCTGTGACCCAGAATGAACTTGACGCACACAGGACGCAGGGTGTCACTGGTCCCGGGCCTCTGTCCATGACCAGGTGGTCAGCAGCACTTCTGCAGCTGACTATGCAATGGCTAAATGAATAAAAAGGCCACAAACTAACCTCCACTTTCCTCTGTCTTCAAAATTCTAGTGACACTGGGAATGCTAGACGACCTCTTACTATTCTGCTAAGGTCCTAGGGTTTCAGGAACTAGGGAAAGACTGGGTACTGAGGCTGTGTCCCCAGCTGTCTGCTTCCAAAGCAGCTGTACTACGACGGGTTTCTGCTGAGGAAGTGGCGTTAGCAGGGCCCCACACGCCTTCTCGGGCTGTCAGGGGTGGGAGAGGGACTGTGTGGGGTCCTTCATGTGCAGACGGGACGTGTCGCCTCACAGCTGTGCAGACGAACGGATCTGGTCTACTGCCACAAACAATGCGGCATAAAACTGATCAATATTATAATAAAGATTTGTCTTCATCTCCGTATCTACAAAGTGATTCTACATTTCCTTGGACAGCACTGGAGGGCCCGCTCAGTCTTGGCACTGACGCTGGAGGCCAACCCCAGCTCCCTGGGCCCTGTGGCGTGCTGGCGGCTTCAGGCGTCACAGGCCGGCTGCTCCAGGCCTTCCAGGGGGAGCTGGCTCCTGTGGGGGGAGTTAGGGCTCGGTGGACCGCTGGGGTTGGAGCTGTTCGATGGAGTTGAGTGTTTGGTGGAGTCCGAATCCGGCTGTGAACAGGAAGAGGGCAGGGTGAGCACCTGCTGCCCTAGCCTGGGGAGGCAGCGCCCAGCTGGACGAGAATGTCTGTCCAGGGACAGCTGTGGCAACTGCTCTTCCCCTTTGGTGTCATGAGACCACACAAGCTTCTACACCAGTGATTCCTGAGGGCCTTCGGCTTGCTGGTGAGAGTCACAAATCGATGTCTCACCCCACTCAAAAATAACACAGGAATTATTACGAAAGACAGCAACTCTGTAGTGAAGAAACCAGATGAGGCGGGGCACAGTGGCGCCCACCTGTAACCCCAGCACTTTTTGGGAGGCCAAGGTGGGTGGATGGCACTCGAGGTCAGGAGTTCAGGACCAGCCTGGCCAACATGATGAAACCTCGTCTCTACTAAAAATACAAAAATTAGCCGGGTGCAGTGGTGCACACCTGCAACCAAGCAGTCCACATTCACAAACATGACACTCTTTCCCGAGAAAAGCATGAGGAATAGAAGGGAACTCCCCAAATGATGAAACAGCTAACAATACCCAGTGGTGAGAGACAGAATTTCCCCCAAGATCAGCAACAAGACAAGGATGCCTGCTTTCACCACTGCCACTCAACATGGCACTAGGGGTTCCAGCCAGAGCAACCAGGGAAGAAAAAGAAAAAGGGTTCCAAGTTAGAAATAAAGTTAAACCATCTCTGTTTGCAGACAATATGATTCTACACATAGAAAATCCTAAAGAAAAGAATCCACAAAAAACCAGCAAATTCAGCAAGTTATAAGGCACAGGATCAACACACACACATCAGTTCTATTTCTATACATCAGAAACGAACACAGTGAAAGGGAAACTGAAAAAAAAACTCAATTTACAATAGCATCCAAAATAATAGCTAGGAATAGTTTAACCAGAGGAGTCAAAAATGTGTACACTATAAATTACAAAACATTGCTGAAAAAAAAAACAGCTTAAATAAATGGAAAATATCCCATGTTCATGGAGTAAGTATATTGCTAAGATGGCTGTTCCAGGCTGGGGCGGTGGCTCACACCTGTAACCCCAGCACTTCAGGAAGCCAAGGTGGGAGGATCGTTTAAGGTCAGGAGTTCGAGACCAGCCTGGCCAACATGGCGAAACCCTGCCTCTACTAAAAATACAAAAATTAGCTGGGCATGGTGGCAAGTACCAATAGTCCCAGCTACTCAGGAGACTGAGGCACCAGAATTGCTTGCAGTGAGCTGAGATCGTACCACTGCATTCCATCCTGGGCCACAGAGCAAGACTATGAATTAAAAAAAAAAAAAAAAAAAAAAAGCCAACAAAAAAATGCATTATGAGGAATGTAAATGACAACCTGTAGAACAAGAGAAGACATCTGCAAATCACATCTCGCAAGAGCCTGCTATTCAGACCACTACAGGAGCTCCAACCCATCCACAGAAAGACAAACCACCTATTCAAAAATGGGCAAAGGCCTTGAGCAGGTATTTCTCTAAAGAACGTACGAAATGGCCAATAAGCTTAAGAAAAGATACTCAAGTCTCTAGGGAATGCAGATCAAAACCACAATCAGACACTACTTCACAGCCACTAGGACCACTATGAAAAAGAAAACAAAAACAAAAACAAGTACTGGTGAGGGTGTGGAGAGAGAGCCCTCAGACATTGCTGGCGGAAATGCAACAGGTACAACTGCTGCAGAAACCCCAATGTGAAGACAGGCACTCAATAAGTATGTGCACACGTGTTCCTAGCACCATGCACTATGGCCCAAACGGGCATCGGGGAAGAATGGGAAAACAAGGTGGGCTCTATCCATGCAGGAGAATATTATTTAGCATTGAAAACGAAACCCTGACACATGCTACAGCAGAGGTGAACCACAGCAACAGTCTGCCAAGTGAAAACCAGGCACAAAGGGTCAAAACCATTTCTAGGGGCGGGAGGAAAAAAAAATTTCTATACGAAAGGCTGGGTACTCCATTTCCACAAAATGTCCATCAGGGGAAATCTCAGAAAACTGGGGGCTGCCCAGGTGCTAAAGGGAGGGAGCAACGGGGAGAGAATGCTTAAGGGGCAGGAATTTATTTTGAAATGATGAAAATGTCTTTTTTATTATGTTTTAGAGACAGGATCTCGCTACATTGCCCAGACGGGCCTTGAACTCCTCAAGTGATCCTCCCACCTCAGCTTTGCTAGCAGCTGGTACTACAGGCATGAACCACTGCGCCCGGCCTGGGGTAATGGAGATGTTTCTGAATGAGAAAGAGGTGGTGGATGTTCTAAATGTCACTCAGTTGTTCACTTCGGTCATCTGGGCCCAGTGTGCTGGCTGATGCCTGGCATCCAAATCCTCTGCGAGGCTGAGGTGTGAGGACGGCTTGAGCCCAGGAGTTGGGAGACCAGCCTGGGCAACAAAATGAGGCCCTGCCTCTATATTACTACTTAAAAAAAAAATAGTTGTTTTGTGACTTTCATTTAAAAGAACAAACAACGTCATGCAGATGAAACAGGCACTAGCTGCCTCGGGGCACGGTGCCCTGAGAGGGGTGCCATGTCCTCTGTGTGGTGTGACAGCCTGAGACATGCATCGAAGCTCCTGAGCAGGAAACAGCAGACAGACACAAGCTCTGGAGCAAGCTGTAAAGTAGCAGCAGTACTCGCTGCAAAAATGTTACCGCCCACCAAAGACAGGCTGAGGGCCTGCTGCAGAGTAAAGGGCGGGGCGCAGGACGGACAAAGGACGGAAAGTCAGAGGATATCCAGAGGAAGAGACAGCGACCTTGGCAGTAATGTGTGCAAGGCATCTGCACTTCTGTTTGGCAGCTGATGTTAAAACGTCTCAGTGCTGGGGCTGAGACGTGTGCTGGGGTGATGGGCCTGGCCCTTCTACCTGCCTTCCTCCCTCCCTCCAAGGATGGCACCAGGGGCTCAGCCCACAGCACTGAAGCTCCCCGCCTCCCTCAATTGCATTCTCACCCCCGTTCTGCACAGGGGAAACTGAGGCCAGAGCAGTGCGGCTGAGCTGTGCACAAGAACGCTGCCAGCCAGAGCAGGGCTTGTCCCCGAGGTGGTCCCCACACTCTGACACCTAGCGCCATCCCAGGGGAGGAGCAGAAGAGAGACCACTGTGGAAGGCCAGCCCGGACCAAAGCAACCACTGATGTGTCACAAAACAACACAGGGGAGTCCCAGAGGAAGGAGCAGCCTCTGGCGGAGGCATGCCCATGGGGCAGTAACAGCCCCGCCCCCAGCCAGTGCTCCCAAAGGGGACCCAGGATCTGACCAAGAGATGGCTGCTTGGGCCTCCTGGAGGAAGGGACGGCCACCCCTGCCTCCCTACCACCCTGTTGCCCTCACACTGCACAGAACAGCCTAAGTGGGGTGCTCCAGAAGGGCTGTCACACCACTCAGGCCCCCAGATCTTTGGCTGCTCCTACTGCAGTGGCGGCTCACTGCCAAGGCACTGCACCTGGGAACGTCTCACCTCTTTGTCGAAGTCCTGGTCTGGATCGGACATACTTCTCAGAGGCACAGCCACACCGGGCTCCGATCCACCTATGGAGCAAGGACAGCTTTCCTCTTAGGGAAAAATTCAAGAATGGAATCAAAATTCTGGGGTCTCCCCATTCCCACCTCCCACCTCCCCCAGGGCGGTGGGGGCCGCGCTTGCGCCGCACCTGACGAGGGCCATGAGATGTAGGGCTTGTTCCTGGACGGAGGCTGGCGGGCCAGGCTGGCGGGCGTGGGGCCTGGCCTTTCCTCCTGGGAGTGGGGCCCGGCACTCTGGACAGAGACAGCAACACATGAGTATGCTTGGGAGACATAAAGAAGGGTCAGCAGCGAAGTTTGTGCCACCTATGGTGGCTGTGGCCCCCTGACTTTGATGAGCAAAATGGGGGCCAGGAGGGCTCCCTGGAATGGACAAGGGCTCAGGGCAGTCTGGAACTAAGAACTGGCAACACCAACTTAGGCCAGGTCAAATCCTCTAAGAGGCATTTATTTTTTTTTTTGAGACTTAGTCTCACTCTGTCCCCTAGTTTGGAGCGCAGTGGCGTGATCTCGGCTCACTGCAACCTCTGCCTCCTGGGTTCGTGTTTCTCCTGCCTCGTCCTCCCAAGTAGTTGGGACTACAGGTGCCCGCCACCATGCCCAGCTAATTTTTGTAATTTAGTAGAGAGGGGGTTTCACCATGTAGGCCAGGCTGGTTTCAAACTCCTGACCTCAGGTGATCCACCTGCCTTGGCCTCCCAAAGTGCTGGAATTGAGCCACCAGACCCAGCCTAAAAAGCATACTTCTTAAATAAAAAAGAGAAAGTATGCTATCTGTTGGTATGAAGGGCTACTTAGAAACCACCACCTGACAGCAAATGGCCTTAGGAAACCCTGACAGGCTGACATGGTGACAGACTCCACAAGCACACCCGCAGCATCACTGCCAGAGCAGCCTGGGGTCTGTGCACAAGGCCTGTGACAGGGACAGTGCTTGTGAACACAGCTTCAGTGAGACAAGCTTGTGTGACAGGTCAGAGGACAGTGCCAGCATTGGCGGGCGGGCCCTGCCTATGGGGCGGTCTCAGCCGCCACAGCTGTCTATTGGGGAGGAGAGGATGGGGTGCCCTGCCCGGCCGGCCCGCCCCACCACGGCCGTGCACGCACCAGAGGCAGGTCCATGAGCACCTGCATGCCGTCGCCCGGGCCCATGTGAGCCACATGGTTGAAGTTGGTTGGGTTGGATATCATTTTGGATCTCAATTCTGGGTCTCTA